AGGACAAACTGTAGGATCTGTGCGACAGTTATATACCGTTTCCACCACAAGAACCGGTGGACAGTCGGTCCCAACGCCGACAACGCGTAATACGAGTACATCATTGTGTGGACGGGTGTGTTGAGTACGACAAATATAGCGATTGGTGGACAAGTAGGCGTAACCTTCATTGCTAGCCAGGTCAGTATGGGAACGATGAAGTGATGGTAGAGGTGCAGGAATGTCAGGTGAGACTCCTTTTTGCGTAACACCAGGAATACGGTGTCCAATAAGTCTATGAATTTGGTGTACCCGTAGACCATTGCCACGTCGATGTATCGTAGGGTTTGAGGGCTGGTATCCTCGCGGGAAGGAAACTCAAACTCTGTTAACAATCGAGTAAAGTCTAGAAACTTGAGGCACATTACAAAAAAGTAGGCGTTAGTGCCGGCCATCAGTATATTGTAGCCAAACATAAGCCATCGTATGTTCAATGGCTCCCGAGTTGACATCAGTTTGGGTCCTAATTTGGTTACAAACAGCAGCCATAGAGTCATGAATGTCAGCACCGGTAGAGGCCCTCCACGGGTCAGCAAATAGTGTCCGGTCCTGGGATCGGATACATCGGCCCAGTAGTCATATAAGTAATAATCGACAGTTCGTATAAGTGCGCCATTTTGTTCAGTCATATTTTTATCACTAACTGATATCATAATTGTACAATTAATTCATTATATTGTATTACAATAAGTGTTAAGTTTATGATGTTATGTGTTATTGAATATATAATAAATACAAAATTTTATTTTTACAATTATTGTATAATTATACACTAATGGTTATTTTATATATTGTATTTAGTGTAAATATTAGTGTAGGAAAGCCTTTAAATGTGAATATAATTAAATTCTACATCATTCATTATAATTTAAATTGAATTGAATATAAGGATAAACAATAATTATTAATTTGTCAATGTAGCATAATTCAAATATATAATTAAATAAATATTGATATTTTATATTTCCATTTAATATATAATTTAAATTTATTGTGACACATTTTATTAATTAAAATTCTCTATTAAGTAATTATTTTGAAATATATTTATTATTGCTTAATATGTAAATAATAAATGCAATGTTTCTCATTATGGTTAATATACACTGATTACTAAATTTCCCTTTTAATGGCTGCAGTATATTCACCGATATATTAGCTGTAAATCACAAAAAGTTATTATAAAATACAATTAATTTGTTATTTCTTACTTTTCCAAGTATTTTTCACAAACACTAATATAATTGCTTTAAATTAAAATTAATTCTTTAATTGCTTTAAATTTAATTTTTAAATTTAGATATGAAGAAAATCAAATTACATAATAATTATTATAATAGATAATAATTATAATTGTTTATATAATTTGTCATAGCTAATAAATAAACGAATATTATTAATTAGAATCTAATTCTCAGAATATTATATAATAATAATGACTTTCTCTATAAAAGTCTGTTTAATAAATGGTTTTATTATCACGATTTAAAAATTAATTTAAATTATTGTTTAATTTTAATTTGTTTATGTATTATGATAAATCGTTACGATAAAATTTTTTTAATGTTACAATTACTAAAAATTATAGATAATTATTATACCTATACTTTTCTTAGTAAAATTGTTAATCGAATTAATATTATTTACTAGACACTAATAATTATATTTTAAAATTTGATTTAACATTTCCTAAATTGGTATAAACATTCAAAAAATGAATTCATCGAAAAAACTACACCTATTTTATGAAAACTACACACTTTTTATTGCGAATTCAAAATTGAAAACATTAATTAAAGTCTAATTCTTAGAATAATATAATAATGACTTCTCTATAAAAGTCTGTTTAAGAAATTGTTTCATTATTTTAATTTGTTTCTCAATTATATTTAATATTTTTAGTGATATTAATTTAAATGTTATAAAGAATTATTTTTTTATTTATAATAATGACCCAAAAGTTTATAAATAGAGGTGCATTCAACACACAAACCATTGGTGACCATTTTTTGACACCAAGACAAAATTGAACTGAATCATACAAAAATACCACAAATTAAACTAATTATTTGAATAAAATTCTAGAATTTGATCCGGTTAAATAGATATGGATGATATTTTAGGAAAGTTGGCCATGTTAGGTGAGATCCCGGCTACATTTTTTAGGTGTCGTCGCAAATTTCACGGCACTAGACGTTTGGACGGCCAGGTTGTGGTCATCACCGGTGGAAATGCGTGTATCGGCAAAGAAACGGCATATCAGCTGTCATTGAGGGGACCAAAGGTGAGGTGGTATTCATGTATTGAATAAACGTTATAGGCAATAACTAAATGTTTATCTGGTATGGGAATATAAACTCAGCCTTATGGATTACAGAACATTTGTCACTTTTGTTGGAAGATTTTTATATAGATTTATATACAATAAATCTTACAACAAATACTAAATGTTCTCTAATCAATAAGTATAGGTTTATATTCATATAAGTTATGTTCCTTGAACAAGTTGCTAAAAACAAACTTCTTAGGTGTATCTAAATTTATTTTTGAAGAAATGTTTGAATAGCAAAATATCTGTACTGCAAAAATATATCCATAATTTTAGATTGATTGTGAGCCTAAAGCTTTTCGATTGGTTACGTGTAATGAATAGAAGTTTCTTTAAAAAAGCTTTCGATTCACACCCCATCCCCACAATAGATTATTCATTTTCTTTGTTCAGATATTGTAATTCAATTACATTTTTAATAGAAAATCATAATCGGGTCGAGAAATAAATTAAACAACGATAAGGCCGTTAACGAAATAAGACGTCGTAATCCCGGCGCTAATATAACGGCTCTGACGCTGGACTTATCGTCCTTTAAATCTGTTCGCGAGTTCGCCCAACAAATCGCCGAAAGCGAGTCCAAAGTGGATATACTGGTCAACAACGCCGGCATTCCCGTCGTTCTCGGGCCGCCACAGGAGACCGTCGACGGCTATGAACTGCATTTGGGGGCAAACTATTTGAGTAACATATGATCGGCAATAATGCTTTATTCGTGTTCTGGTGTATTGACCTAATCTTTCATTAAACTTTATCTTAATAACTATTATTTAAAAATATCATGTTTACTTATAATATTATTTAATGTTTATTTATAAATTAGTCCATGGTATTTATGTAATTTAAAAACTAAGGCATTTTGGCCGCACATGATGTATAATTCATTCAGCATATAAAATTGACGACATATTAATTGGTCGGCTCCCGTGTTATCACTTATTAAAATTGTATATATAATTTTATATTTGTATGCATTTTATACACTTTTAGGTCACTTTCTATTAACTATGCATTTGTTGCCATTAATGCGACGGTCTGTGAGCGCACGCGTCATAAATGTGAGCGCGAATTGGCACGTGTTTAGCAAAATACGTTTGAATAACATGAACCTCCATAACGGCTCCTACACTGCGGCAAAGGCTCACTTGCAGTCCAAACTGGCACTGGTGTTGTTCACCCGAGAAATGGCCAACCGGTTGGGTGGTCCACATAGCAAGGTCAAGACGTACGCTATTAACCCGGGTATTGTCAACACGAGACGCGTGGATAATATTGTGGCCAGATTTCTCAAGGCATTGATAGCTTTGAGTATTGAGATGGGACCGCAAACCTACCTGTACTGCGCACTGGCTCAACAGCTCGACAATGAGTCGGGGCATTATTATGAGTAGGTATTTCATAAAATGAGAAAGGCACATCAAATGTGATAACATTGCTTTTTATCAAAAAACCGATAAGATCTAAAAAACTCATTAAAACATGCACTCAGTACTCAATGTTCATAAAATAATAAACAATAAAAATGAGTACTGAGTGCATTTTAATAAGTATTTTAGATATTATCGATAATCTGGATATAAAAGCAATGTCATCGCATTAGACGAGCCTTTTTCATATGTTATGTTGTATTTGTTGTGTTTTTGAATTATTTTTTGTTGTTTTGTGTCTCATATATAAGTAACTGTCGACGAGTGCGACGAATGCCCGGTAATGC